TATATATATATATATTATATTCTTTACCTACCAGCTATATACAATTGTGCTAATTTAATGACAGACTTTATATTATAGTCATCAGCACAATTGCATATTATGTATACAATTAATATATGTGATTTTACAGTCCTGAGGAAGGGGGTACTTCCAAACCCTGCAACATGATTTTCACAATTACATTTAGAGTACATAAATAGTGTACAAATACACAAATAAAATTTCCAGAGCCATACAATTACTGATAACAGCAAACATTTCTGTCCTTTCAGATGAAGAAGAATTTATGTAAAGAATAATCAATACCTGGAAGGTGCCTCTTTTTTTTTCTTCCTCTACATCCCATCAATTCCTTTTCTGCAGTGCAATCTATCCACACAGGGATATCTGCAAAATGAATGAGATTTCTACAAGGCATGTTTACCATTCAGTAAAATAGTGACAGACAAGCAAGAAGCCAGAGGCCGACACAGCTTACCAGACTCCATCTATACCTAAAGTATCACCTATGATCATAATTTAATCATTTTTGTGTTAACATTCCCAGGAATCTAACAATCCTTATAAAACAACTCCTCTCGTATACTACTAAAAATGTAATGCAATTTTTTCCTGGAAATACTTTCACCATCTAATTTTTGAATACTCTACCTGCCTACTAAAGTCGCAATACATGTTGATAGTTATTCCTAATGGTGTATTGGCAGTCACTGTATACTTCTCTGTACTGTGCTGTAATGACTGTATTAAAATATAAACTAGTTTAGACTGCCTTGATGGTTAATAATAGAGGACCTGTAATGTAAAAGAAACAGTATGATATATATACGTTTCCAAAAACACAGTATACGAAATAAAGTAATGTTATACTGAGTGTGCATTATTATTGCCATTAGTGTCTTCTGTATTCACATTTTTCATCATGTAGACAGGTATTGACACCTAAACATTGTGCATCTGACAACCACTCTAAAACCTGGGCACATTTCCAGCCTGCAGGATAGACAGCTGTTTGACTCTATATTGGCAAATGTAGTTTAGTGTATTACCTCTTCCCCTGGTATTTCATACACAGCGGTGTAGGCAGAGAATTTAGCAGCTGACATACATCGTGAAAGATGTAAATGAAAATAATTATGCAATACATTTTTTAAGGCCCTAACCATGACTCAGGTTATTGTTAGCTGTGTGCCCTAAAGTATCTTGCCAATAATTCTGGATAGGGATGCACTGATACAATTTTTTCCAGACCGATGCTTTTCCTCAAGTACTCGCCAATACCAATTACCGATACCTTTTTTTTTCTAGTGTCATATGACAGTTTTTCTGAAAGAAAAATACAGACTAATGATTTTAGGACAGTGGTGGAGCGCCAGCGCTCAGTAGTAGATGCAACCTCTGCGACCTCTTAGGTGGGCTGTGCAGGGTCTCAGATGGGATTTGCAGGCTCTGAAGTGGGCTGTGCAGGCTCTGAGGTTGGCTGTGCAGAATCTTAGGTGGGCTGTGCAGAATCTTAGGTGGGCTGTGCAGGGTCTCATGTGAGCTATGCAGACTCTTAGGAGGGCTGTGCGTGGTCTCGGATGGGCTGTGCAGGCTCTTATTTGGGCTATGTACGGTCTTTGGTGGGCTATGCATGGTCTTTGGTAGGCTATGTAGGGTCTTTGGTGAGCTGTGTGTGGCCTCAGGTGGGCTGTGCAGGCTCTTAGGCGGGCCATGCAGGGTCTTAGGTGGGCTGTGCAAGGTGTCAGGTGAGCTGTGTGGGCTCGTAGGTGGGCTGTGCCTGCTCTCAGGAGGCTGTGCATGGTCTCAAGTGGACTGTGTGGGTCCTCAGGAGGCTGTGCAGAGTCTCAGGTGGGTTGTGTGGGCCATTAGGTGGGCTGTGCAGGGTCTTAGGTGGGCTGTGCAGGGTCTCAGATGAGCTGTTCAGGGTCTCAGGTGAGCTGTGCAGGCACCTAGGCGGGCTGAGCAGGGTCTTAGGTGGGCTATGCAGGGTCTCAGGTGAGCTGTGCAGGGTCTTAGGTGGGCTGTGCAGGGTCTCAGGTGGGCTGTGCAAGGTCTCAGGTGGGCTTTATGGGCTCTTAGGTGGGCTGTGTGGGTTCTTAGGTAGGCTGTGCGGGTTCTTAGGTAGGCTGTGCATGGTCTTAGGTGGGCTTTGCAGATTCATGAGTGGGCTATGCATGGTCTTAAGTGGGCTGTGCAGGGTCTTAGGTGGGCTGGGCAGGGTCTTAGGTGAGCTGTGAAGACTCTTAGGTGGGTTATGCAGGGTCTTGGGTGGGCTGTGCAGGGTGTCAGGTGGGCTGTGCGGGCTCTGAGGTGGGCTGTGCGGGCTCTTAGGTGGGCTGTGCGGGCTCTTAGTTGGGCTGTGCGGGCTCTTAGTTGGGCTGTGTGAGGTTCCTGATGTCTCTTGTATTTTATCTACAGCGCCCTCCCATCTTTATCTAGAGCTTCCTGTAACCTGCCGTCTGTACTTAGAGCACCTTGCTGCTGGCATCAAGCGGGCCCTACCGTTTGAATCCAGAGCTCTCTGACATTTTGATTCCACAGTCTCCTGCAATTTGTATCTAGAACATCCTTGCATCTTGCCATTTGTATTTACAGTGATCTGCGCCCTGCCATTTTGTTTTCACATCCTCCTGCCATTTTGTGTCTTGTGTGTATGCATGAAATTATGTACCTAATAAACTCTGCATCATTCACTCCAATTCCCTCCTAACCCCTATTTACATCCAAATACTTCTAGCACTGTGCACCCCAAAAAGTACTGCAACATAAACAATATTGTGGACCAAACCTCCAACATGCTACACAATACTCACTGTATGGTGCACTCCAATGAACAAAGTTCCACAAACCATGTTAGCTTATTTCCCCCCACGGTACACATAGCAACATGCATCCCAATATACATATTTTAATGCACCACAATATAAAAGTAGCATCATTAACCTCAATAGACACATTACGACACACCTATTCCTCAATAACGGCTGTACAGTGCATCCCCAATTCACGCCACACCATGTACCCAATAAACTCTGCACCATGAATTAAATAAAATACAGTATATCATGCACCCATATACACAGAACATAGTTGACCTACTGCACTATGAATATCTATGCACATTGCACTGAGTATCAAAATACTGATAGAGCTGTGCACCTCAACAACACACAGCAAAAAAAACACTCACTGCCCAAACCACATAGAAACGTAGACCTTAATATGGAACACCCCCCTCGCCAGTATAACCTGCACTAAGTACCCCAAAACATACAGCACAGAGAACCCTAATATGCACTAATACACTCTAATACTCACTATTACCGACAATACAATACAGTGCCCCCCTAATATTCACTGAACAATGTACCGCAAGAAACAACATGCATCCTAATACTCACAGCAGCATGCCATAGCTCCCAACTGTCCCTCAGGTGGAGGGACTATACTTCATTTTGGTCTGCTGCTGAAGTTGGAAGGTATTCCCTTCAACTTTTTGGATAAAGTAGTTAAAGGACAGAACCTCTATCTACAAGGTCTTTATGGAGGTCTGTAAAGCTGGCCATACACTGGTAGATTTTCCTACCACCATTCATGCGAAACATCTATTGGAAACATTCAATAAAGCCATCAGAGAGTTGACAAATGGTGCTCAAAACTTCACTTTAATTTTAACATTTGATCTTACAATGAATGGAGTTACCCAAAATTTCCATCCCGCTTCTTTGATTTTCTGATAGTTAATGGGGCCAAATCGGTGAGCATTTTTGACGAAAAAAACAATCAAACGGAATGTTCCGAAAATGTATTTTGCCAAAGAAAATTCTACTGGTGTGTGGCCAGGGACTGTCCATCTTCTGGAATCTAATAGCTGTCCCCGTTCCCTCCTGAGTTGACCCTCATTTTAGTCTGATGTATAAATCTCTAGAACGTCATGTACTATTAAACTACTCTAATCCTTTCCTTTATATGGGTAATTTTAAAGGTGTTTGTGGGGTACAATTTAATGATTGTTTTTGTATTAATAATTTGTGATCCACCAATCATGGCAGCTTGCAGAAAGTAGTACATTGTTATTGGCTCGAGCAATTAACAGCACATAGACAACCCCTGTAATTTTCTACAGCCCCCTTATCACTTGGGACAACCCCTGTACATTTAACAGCCACATTATTACTTGGGACAACCCCTGTGAGTTTAACAGCCCCCTTATCACCCAGGACAACCCCTGTGTGTTTAACAGCTCCCTTATGACCTAGGACAAGCCCTGTGATTATTAATAGCCCCTTTATCACTTGGGACAACCCCTGTGATTTTTAA